TTTACAGTCACTCCCCATCATTAGCATTACCACCTGAGCTCCACCTCCTGTCAGATCAGTAGTGGCATTAGATTCTCATAGGAGCATGAACCCTGTTGTGAACTGTGCATGTGAGGGATCTAGGTTGTGCACTCCTTATGAGAATCTAATACCTGATGATCTGTCACTGTCTCCCACCACCCCCAGATGGGACTGTCTAGTTGCAGGAAAACAAGCTCAGGGCTCCCACTGATTCTACATTATGGTGAACTGTATAATTATTTCATTGTATATTACAATGCAATAATAATAGCAATAAAGTGCACAATAGTCATCGCAAAACCTTCTCCCCTTTAGAATATATCACAAACTAGAAAGTATACATCCCCTGGACCCTGGTCCATGGAAAAACTGTCTTCCATGAAACTGGTCCCTGGTCCCGAAAAGTGTGGGAACTACTGCCCTACAGTTTTCAAGACATGAGGTGACTAATTGACAAAACATAGCTGCACTGACCTCACCTCAACTGCCAAGAACCACAGGCCTCATCTAGGTCCATCCCAATATCTGGGGTAATCTTGGCTAAACTCTTCCAAATCTCAATTTTCTAATGTTTTCATAGAGAGGATTAACACTGCTGTTTCCTAATAGGAGTATTACACTAAATTAGTAGACATGCAAACTTATGGAAACAGTTATGAACAGGTTTCTGTACATTTATTTCATAATTAGAATACTGTCTTAGACAAAACTTTATTGCTTTTTTATTTCTTCTGTGTTTCCATATTTTCATATTAGCATGACAACAAAACTAGGTTCTTCTGTTTCTCTTATTTAGGTAAGCATCATCTGATGACAAGGTTGTGGGGTTTTTTTTTAACGTAACTGTGCCTAGCAGAAAATCTACTTGTAAATGGGCATTCAAAAGATGGCTGTATGACTGAAATACTGAGCAGAAAATTATCCCTTACTTATTTTGTATATAATTTCCTTATAACCAATCTCTCTGGTTATATATCTTTCAGGTTGAGTTATCAAGGATAACCTACAGATAAATGATAATCACTGGTTATAAGAGTTTCTAAAATATGTTGTTTTTATGCATGTATCAAGACACTTTTTGGAAACTGGTAAATCATAGCAAAGAACTTTTCTACCACTGGTTCCCAGTTAAAAACTGGGCTGTTTCGGCTGGGCGTGGTGGCTCACACCTGTAATCCTAGCACTTTGGGAGGCCAAGGTGGGCAGATCATGAGGTCAAGAGATCGAGACCATCCTGGCCAACATGGTGAAACCCCATCTCTACTAAAAATACAAAAATTAGCTGGGTGTGGTGGCGGACGCCTGTAGTCCCAGCTACTCGGGAGGCTGAGGCATGAGAACTGCTTGAAACTGGGAGGCAGAGGTTGCAGTGAGCCGAGATTGTGCCACTACACTCCAGCCTGGTGACAGAACGACACTCAGTTTCAAAAAAAAAAACTGGACTGTTTCTAGCTATAGCTTTAACCATAGATTGTCAGAGATGCTAACACTTGATTCCTAATAGTCTTATTTCCCCCAAATAAAATAAAAAACTTAAGACAGAAAGATAAAAACAAGATTTAACTTATATTCCATCACACAGAGAAACCAGGAGCTCCTATTTCTTAAGGGTTTTCTTTCAATGTGGAAATTTTTCATAGAGCAAAAGAAAAATAAAAACAAAATGTGGTGTGCTCACATTTTTGAGAAGTGATGCTAAAAAGTTTTTTTTAAAAAGACACGCATATCTATAGAACAATTGTTATGTGTAAAATTAAAAGATAGAATCACAATTTTACACTGTGTTACAACCCACAAATATCTCATTTGTTGCCCAGACTTCCCATTTCTGAAGTTGAAAAATACTTTCAATTGGATACCAATCTGAAAATGAAAACAAAAATAATTTTTTAAGTCTGTTAAGTCCTCCTTGTTTGGTTATGTGCCACACTGTGGTAACAAGTGATTCATAGGACCTACATTCATATGAAAAAAAACCAAACTAAATTATGTTTAAATTATGTTTTCATTCTGGGACCTCAAAATACCAAAATACCAACCTTTAGATGTACTTTAGAATGTATCACAAACTAGAAAGTATATATACTTTTGGCTGGGTGCAGTGGCTCATGCCTGTAATCCCAGTACTTTAGAAGGCTAAGGTGAGCTGATCACGTGAGGTCAGGAGTTCAAGACCAGCCTGGCCAACATGGTGAAACCCCATTTCTACCAGAAATACAAAAATTAGCTGGGCATGGTGGCGGGCGCCTGTAATCCCAGCTATTCAGGAGACTGAGGCAGGAGGATCGCTTGAACCCGGGAGGCAGAGGTTAAAATGAGCTGAGATTGTGCCACTGCACTCCAGCCTGGGCAACAGAGTGAGACTGTGTCTCAAAAAAAAAAAAAAAAAAAAAAAAAAGAAAGTACACATACTTTCTAGTATATACTTCATATATACTCAGACCTCCTCAATCAGATTCTGAGGGTGAACCTTAGCATTTGCATTTCTTAAGATGAATTTAAGTTTTTCCAAAATATACCAACCCTGCATGCAAATGAGGACAAAAATCTGGATAAACATCAAAGAATTATTTAATCTAATATCCCTATCAAAAAAAAGTAGATAGTTGCCTTCGATTTTTTTTTGTAATATACAAATCACTATGACCTAACAGTTTTACCTCCACCTGCCTAACAAGACATAATCATTATTGCCAAAACAATGTTAAGTACTGGTCCAGCACATCTCTCATCATAAAAAAGCCAACAAAGATCCAAACCCAGGCCGGATGTCCAGACTTCAGCATAATAGCAATCCCTCCCAAGGACAAAGCCAAAAATAGATCCTGAGCTAAATGGGAATTCCTAGCACTAAGATCCATCCTTATAAGCCCTTTCCGGGGATATGCATTTTAAATGGTTTGCAGAAGTATGTTACCTGAACAGGTTAACATGGCATATTCATCAAATGAATAAATTATCAACAGGTAGAGGGCAGGGCCCAACAAAAGTAAGTCATACCATGGCAACTTTGGACAGAAAACAGAGAAACTACAAAAAAAATGTACTGGAATAGATGAGTATTGAAGGCTAGAGTGACAAGATATAAACTAAATTCACTTCCTTTACAAATGCATAGGTCAGTAGGTGGAACCAGTGACAAGATTTTTAACTAAAAGATATGTGGTCCTAAATTACTGAGACTGTTTTTTGTTAAGCTCACACACTTCTCTACATATATAGGGATACATGAGAAAGTGTAAGTGAGAAAATTCCACTAAAATAGGATGAATGTGTAACAAAATCCAATACCAGGCTCGATAAATCTTGCAATCATAAATTCTATGGATAGTGAAATACTCTGCATCATCACACCCAGACCAATGGGAGCATTATACATGCGTTACTTTTTGTACTCAAAAAGATGAAGTATATAACTGTCTACTGTACCATGTCATTTGAAAACACTAGAAAATTCTACAGCAATCCTTCAAAAGTTTTCAAATAAATACCCTGTCCATCTTAAACCTGAAAAGCACTTCAAATTGCTAACATTTAATTTCTTGTTGACTGTAGATATTGTCATTTCTGTTTTCCTTGTAAAAGGATGCTAAATAAGGCTGCAAGAAGTGACTGCTACATTAACCAAAATTATGCACTGCCAAGCTGTCTCCAGCATCAACTCCGAAAGATAGGAAAGGATCAGAAATCCAATTTCCTACATGAAAGTTGAAGCATTGCTTCTTTTTTTGTTCTCTTCTGTGGGATTCTTCCATTGTCCTCCCAAATGTGACAGTTTGCAAATACCCACATCTAGAAGCATATTCTATGAAAGAAAAGATGCCAATTTTAAAACTTGAGAAAGGACTTTAATTCTGTAGGCAAAGGTTCAGCAAATCAGTTAGCACTAATCTTGACCAAATGAGTGAGTCAGCCTTGTCACTGAGAATTTTTTTTTTAATTTAGATGAAATTTCACATTTAAAAACATGGTAACTCCAAGCATTCTACCAAGAACAAAGAATAAGCATTGAAATAGTCACTTATCCTCTAATTTTAGTGAGTCGTCTCCCTTACTGGCAGTTTTCCTACTTTCTGTCTTAAAAGGGAATCCACACACTCAACACCGCAAAATGGTAAGACATCTCCTCTCACCCCTACGTTGTGGCTCTGGCACCTCGGGGTCGCACAGAAGCCATCGTTCTGACTAGGGTGGGTTTATGCTCCCCGCTCGGGGAAGGGCCGTCTGGCTGTTTGCAGGGTGCAGGCTCCCTGCGCTGACTCTCGCTTCTTGTCCCGCAGTGGGATCACCGTGACGGACCCTTGACATGAGCACGTCTTTGACTGAAAAACTGATGCGGTCTGAGCCGGCGGGGCGGGGGAAGCGTGGGGGCCTCGGCAGGCTCAGGAGGGTGGCACTGCGGGCAGCCACCTCTGCGGCCCCAGCGAGGCGAGCAAGCCTTGCCTGAAGTTTTCCTTCCTTCCACAACACGAACCTGCCGGGCCTCCCACCCCCACCCCGCCCTGTTAGCAACAGTCACGCCGGCAGCTCACGGAAGGGCAGGGGCACAGCTCCTGGCGCCCCACAGAAGTTGGGCTCGGCGGCTGCCACAGCTGAAAGCTCCTGCAGGACAGTCGGGCCGACACCGCCTCCTCCGGGGCCAAACCTGAGCTGCCAACTTTCCCACTGCCCACTCCTCTGCGCACAGCAGCCCAAACTTTGCGGTTCGCCCACCGGCCGCACCCCGGGCGAGCGACCTTCACGCCAGCTCCGGGTCCCGCACTGGCCGCCGCCCGCCCCCCCGAACCTCCCTGCCTCCCCTAGATCCCTCTGCCTGCCTCCCCCAACCCTCGTGGGAAGCCCGCGGTGTGGGGGGTGACGGCAGCAGCCCGACCCCGCGTATCACGACTGCCCACGACCCTCGGGGCTCCGGAGAACCCGGGTGCCGGCGCCTCGGCTGCCCACTCACCATTGGTGAAGGGCTCCATCTTCCCCCCGCCGCGGCTCCTCACAGCCCGAGCGCCCGAGCTTCCTACTCCGAAAGCTGAGGCGGCCCAGCCGACTGAGCATGCCCAGCGCGGCCTCCAAGGGCTGCCAGGGAGGTGCCGCGAGGGGCGGCGCCGCTCCGCCGCTCGGTGGCTCCGCCGTTCCGGGTTTTCGTGGCGGCTGCAGAAAGAGCGAGGGAAGCGAGAGGGAAAAGCACAGTCTGACCCCCGGCGGCTCTGCCGAGAGGCGAGGTGGGAGCGGGTGCGCGCTGGGGCGGGGCCTGAGCGGGGCCGGGAAAGCCCCGCCCCGCCCCGGGAAAGCCCCGCCCCGCCCCGCCCCAGCCCGAAGTGGACCTGGCTGCGGCGCTCTCCCCGGCCGGGAATTGTGTTCGGTCACTCAACAATTGTGGAGCCCTACTGCGACCCGCCCGATCCTGGACGCCGAGACACCCGCACTGCGCCAGAAAACATGGTCCCAGTCCCAGGAGCGGACATTCCAGAAACAGACCATAATAAACACAGAAGACACACGAGTGTAAAGTCAGTGCCCCGCTGCGCATTAAAGCGGGGTGATGTGATGGCGAGTGAGTGGGGAGCTAATTTGGATGGCTTGTTGGGACAAGGCCTCACTAAGCAGGTGCCACTGAAGCCGAGGTCTGAAGGCAGAGCAGGAACCTGCGGGCGAAGGTCGCCATCCGAACTGCGAATCGCCGGTTTCCCTGGGGAGGTTGGCCGCTGAGGGATCACTTTTCGAAGGACCGAGGGAACGGGCGCTGTAGGTCTTTTCGGCAGGGACGCCCTCCCGCATCATAGTGCCCCGAGAGGGCGGTGAGGAGGAGACTTCGGAAGAGAGGGCGGGGTCCAGGGCCGAGGGCGCCCCGGGGTCCAGTCCCGGGCAGGGCTGCGGGCGCGGCCTCTAGGTGCGGGCGGATAACAAAACCCGGCGCCGGATCGCCCGGGCCGGATCACGGGCGCCGCAGGATGTGGGCAGAAGGCCTGCCTGTTCCAAGCCTGAAATCAACACCTGCGGTTCCCGGGGGTGCCGCCGCTGGGGCTCGCAGCAAGGCTCCGCGGCGCTAGGCCCGAGAAACCGAGACTCCCCTAGTCCCCCTGCCCCCCAGCTCTCGCGCCACTGCCTCCAGCCCCGAGCCACCATTGTTTCCAGTGCCAAATCGGGCAGCCCCGCTAGCCTCTGGGGCCGAACCGCCAGGGGCGCCGTGAGCCCCGAGGGGCTCTTCGGGGACGGCTTCCTTTTCCCCTCTCGGCCTGCGCATCGCCACCACCCTCGCTGCAGAGGCCGCCGCCCTCCCAGCGCGCCACCACCGCTTCCTCTGCCTCTTCCCTCCCTCAGCCCCGACCCCTGCATGGACTTGGCTCGGGCTGCGCCTCACCGCGCCTGCCAACTGTCACACGCTCCGAGGCTGTCAACAGCGGGGCGCCAGGGACACACAAGCCGAGGCGAGCGCAAACAGCCTGCACGAACAGGGACGGCCGGGGTGGTGTTTGACCAGCCCTGGAATTGGAAACTAGGTTTCCAAGAAGTCAAGTCGAAGTACAATATTGTATTTCAAACTGTCTTGTTACTACATCCCTCACAATCCACGCTCTACTTGAAACTTCCAGTGCATACCAACTGCACTTAGAAAAAAAAAATGAAACTCCTTGCCTAACTCTGGGACCTCATCAGCACATTCTCACCATGTTTTGGTCACAGAGGCCTTCATGCTGTTCCTGGAAGTCGCCAAGTTCCATCCATCATTGTTAATCATTCCTTTTGCTCGCTCCTCGCACAAGAACTGTTTCTTCTGCTTAGTACTTTGCCTACTGATTCCATCTTGTCATGTAAGTCTCAGCTCAGATGTCACCTCTGCAAAGAACCCTTGTCTGACCATACATCTAAAATAGCCACACTCTAGAAAGACTTGGCCTTGCTTTATTTCCTTCTCAGCCCTCATCGCTGTCTGAAACAGCGTTTTGGATTTGTTGTTTATCATCAGTCTCCCTCTCAAGAATGCAAGCTTTGTGAGGGCAGGATCGTAATCCTTTTTAAGCTGTATCCGCACTGCGTGGGTAAGTATACAATAAATAATTTTTGCATGAATAAGTGAAGGACGTAGTGGTGTTCAGAGTTCACTTCCACTGCTGCAAGCCCTTCCAGTTAATGACTCCATACTGAATGATGTGTTTGATCAGTACAGAGAAGGTTTCTGTATCATATGATATGTCAGAGTTGCTGTCTTCCTAATGTGTGAAAGGTCATCAGAGCCCTTGGGCTGGCCCCTTGTGCTGGCATTTCAGAACCAAAAATAGTGAACCACAGGGGCTGATGTATCCCAGTTCAGATATTATACGGTATATGCAGAGCTAGATTTTGTTAACATACTTCACACATTGTATTGCTTAAATAAGATGCTCTTCTCTATATTTTAGGTCATGTCATATTCCCTTGGAGTTATTTTTACAACCAAACCACTTAGTATAGGAGCTATTTAAAACCCCGCAGCTTGTTAAATCGCCTCCCCTCACGTCACCTGTAACCCACAGTCTGCCACGCTTTTAAGCGTGAAACATGTTACCTTGTGTTTTGTTTTAAATATCCCAGCTCTGCAGAGACGTGGTAAAAAATGCATCAGCGAATACAGGTGGATCATTATGTCTTTTTGAGGTTTCTTTGACAAAGATACAAATGATTTTTTTGCCAACCTCTTGCCTCCCGCCCCTCCCATTCCTTCACACACACGAAGACAAGAAGGACCATTTAAAGACATGTAAAAACACAGAAAATAAAATTAGCCAGGCATGGTGGTGCACACTGTAATCCCAGCTATTCCGAAGGGTGAGACTTGAGAAGCTGAGGCATGAGAATCGCTTGAACCCGGGAGGCGGAGGTTGCAATGAACTGAGATCGCACCACTGCACTCCAGCCTGGGCGACAGAGCAAGACTCATCTCAAAAAAAAAAAAAAAAAAGGCCTGGCGCCGTGGCCCACACCTGTAATCCCAGCACTTTGGGAGGCCGAGACGGGCGGATCACGAGGTCAGGAGATCGAGACCATCCTGGCTAACACGGTGAAACTCGGGAGGCGGAGCTTGCAGTGAGCCGAGATCGGCCACTGCACTCCAGCCTGGGCGACAGAGCGAGGCTCCGTCTCAAAAAATATATAAATAAATAAATAAATATGGTTTCGTATAGGAAGTAAAAATAGTAAACAAATCAAAATGTTTCAGAATCCTACCTAGGAGCAAAAGAATAATAATGAAGTTTATTTTGTTTCATTGGATACTGTTTTACGTTTGACTTTGTAGAGCCTTTTTGAGGCAACATGGTATCACAGTTTCACAGCCAAAACCCATTATGTTTTTATCTTTAACACCCGCCTATCCTCCCACACAGAACTTGCTCTTTAGTTTAAAAGTATGACACTTTAAGTTATTATGAAGTTACTATTCATTATCAAAGGAGATAATGTGACATTATCTACTATACCCATCTACTTACTGTCCTCAGAATCATTGCTGTCTACCATTTAACATTTGAAAACCATTAATTTGGAGAGTTAATTATAATACATAATAAATAGCATGACAGGAAAAATATAAGCACCGTGAAAAACAAATTGCATTTGTTTAAAGAACTGACAAACTTGATAATCAATGAATATAGGAATATTTTTATCAAAATAAAACACTTGGTATACCATAGATCAGCAAATCCCAGCCTCACATTGAAACAGATAAGGAGGGAACTACTATCTAGAGAGGGTAGAGTATTTACTCACAATCCAGGAGCAGACATGGACCGGAACTCAGGCCATCTGTGTTCTAAACCAGTGCTTCGGAGTTTTCTGTTGCCTCCCAATTTCCACAAGCAAATTGGGGTCAATGACAAAAATCCACAAAAGGGATATGGAATAGAGAGAAATATAGCTAATTTCAGCTATTAGAAGTCTATTCCATTAATCATTTAATTAAGATTCCAACTTAATTAGTTGGTATTCCATAGGGAATTTGGATTCAGCCCTACTAAATTATTTTTCTAATTATTTTGAAATAAGCAACAACAATACATTAATTCAGTGAACACATTTGAAAATGTTATTTGTTCAGCACTCTTATGGAGGAATCTGCTTCCCGCCAGGGCAAGGCTGACCATCGTGAGGTTTCCGGCCACCCTAAGGACTGAAGGAGTCGATATCTCATTACCTTTGTAACCCATTTGCAGCACACATACACTGCATTAATTAGTAATGTTCGAAGTTATACCAAATCAAGAAATGTTTAGAACACAGAAGAAAGCAGAATAATTATCTAATAAAGTTCAAGTAGAGCTTAGGCATTAGCAAAAAAACACAGCCAAATAAAGTGAAAGGTTCTTATTTGGAAAGAACAGTGATATACTAGTTCAGATTCCTTGGGCTACAAAAAAAACAAAACTCTGAGTATAACTAGTTTAAATGATACAGACATTTATGAGCTCATATAACAAGTCCAGAGATAAGACAATCTTCAGTTACAGCTCACCAACCTCATCGAGAGCCCACCTTCTCTCCACTCTTCAGTCCTCTATATGAGGAATTTCCCAAAGCCCAGACTACCATATGGTCAAAAGTTGGCTGCAGCAGGGGAGGAAGCAGGAACTTACTCTTCCGCATCTCTTTCTTGGGAGCAGGGGAGACACGTCTCAGAAATTCCCCATTAAAATTCCCTTTAGGTCTCATTTACCAAAACTATATTTGTACGTTTATAGATCAATCACTAGAAATGAAAATGAGGTTACAATTGAGACAGAGTAGGAATGGGGCTCAGCTTCACCTCACTCCTACTAGAGCATTCTTTAATGCACCCCCACCAAGCACAAAACCTACACCACTACCTCACTGATGCCTTAATGTTTAGACTATGCCTTTTACTTAAAGAATTCCAGGAACTAGGCTGGGCACAATAGCTCACACGTGCAATTCCAGCACTTTGGGAGGCCAAGGCGGGAGGATTGCTTGGGCCCAGAAGTTCAAGACCAGCGGGTACCCCACAGCAAGACCTCATTTCTACAAAAAATTGAAAAATTAGCCAAGCATGGTGGTCTGTGCCTGTGGTCCCAGCTACTCAGGAAGTTGAGGTGGGAGGATTGCTTGAGCCTAGAAGGTGGAGGCTGCAGTAAGCCAAGATCACACCACTGCACTCCAGCCTGGGCAACAGAGCAAGATCCTGTCCAAAAAAAAAAAAAAAAAAAAGGAATTCCCAGAACTGCCTTAGATGACCAAGGTTGTGGAGTGTCCTAGCTAGGGAAGGAATGCTGAACAATTGATTTACAGACTTGTTGCCTCTGGCCAGCCCATAAGGTGCCTATTACTCAAGATAACATAGCAACCAGGTAATGCTGACCCGCATTGCCTACCCATCATATGCTTTGCCCAGTCCAGCCTGCATACCCTACCCCAATGTCAATTCCTGCACTTTGCCTAATAAAAAAGCTGCTAGCTCTTTTTGAGGAGTCAGTCGGGGAATTCTCTCTTTTGTGCTACCTCCCTTATGTCCCAGCATAATCTCCAATGAATGTTTGTCTGGGGAAACTGTTTTGGTCTCTTGTCA